CGCGGCTGGATTGGTCTGCCCCCAACGCACATCGTCGGCGTCTGCGACCTTGACGACCTTGCCATCCAGCTGGAAGAAAGCGTCCGCATAGATGATGGCCCTCTCCTCCGCCTCAAACGGAACCATCCGCGGCTTCTGCGCGGCCAAAGCAAAGCGGAGAAATTCCAACGCACTACGCAGACCCGGCTCAACTTCCACCCGGTTTGGGAGGACCTATAATACGCTGCCGCCGCTCTTTGATGTCGGGGTCGAAGCGAAGCTCTGCTTGACTGCCCAAACAATGACTGCGCAACGAACTGAAGCTTCCCTGCCAAGGTTGCCGCCTGCGTCGGCGTCAATCTGTCCTCTGTCAGAGCCTCCAGGATGTGGTTGTCGAGGCGGGTGACCCTGTCCTTGGTTGCCTGCACGACTACATGATCCGCATACGCAGTGAGGGCAACTCCTTGCAGCTGCTGCGTCTGGGCTGGTGGCTGCGCCTTGGACTGCTTAAATCGGAAGCCAAAGTCGCAGCACACTGTCTGCACGTATTCAAAGCTAGAGTCCGCCTCCGGGCTGGTCTCTGGCGCTCCAAAGTCATCCACGAAGTGGAGAGCTGGCGTGAGAAGAAGGCAGCGGTTGGCCCAAGCCATCCAATCCGCAACACGGCAATAGCCCCACACGCTTGCAACGGAGCCAAACATCAAGACATGATGGCGCCACAGCGTCGGACCTCTTGGCGTCTGTAGTACAACATAGGTGTCCTCTGGCCGCCGCACAGGGAGCTGACGATAGGCTGCCTCATGATCAAGGCCCCATGTCATAATGGCGCCCTGCTCTCCTTGTTGTCGTAGAGCTCGAATGACGGCGATGAAGGCCTCGATGCTGTGGCACGCAGGTGTGTCCGGCACGTTCACGGTCTTGTTGCCTCCAGAACGGCGCCAATCTTCTGTGCGATGGACCTTGCGGCGACCATCAGATCCTACTTGCTGAACTGAAAAAGCAAAGCACGTGTGCTCATGGCAAGTCGGCGCCGACAACAACTCGGTTGTGTGCTCATAGTCAGGCAGCGCCACAGTGGCCTTGCTCCATGACGACGGCGACGCAAAAGGACCTTCTTCTGCACGTACTGAAAATTGTCCTGAAGGAGCGTCTCCTTGTCAATCGGGTTGTTGTATCTATCATCGTGACGAAGACGCCAGCCCAGACCTGGATTGATGCGGCCAAGCAATGGAAAGCCACTGCTCATCTCCTCGAACAAAGAGTCGTCCTGCCAGCCAAACAACTTCGCAACTCTTGCAATTACAGGGACCTGAACTGTGCACCTACCATCTTTCGAGCTGTAGGCAAGTTTGACGTGTGGCTCCAGTGTTTGGAACCAGGCATCCACTTCCGGCTGCATGTCCTCCACCAATTTCCGCACATCGGACGCAACGCTCTGCCTCATCTCTCCAAGATAGGGCTTCCAGTGCATCCACAGGGGTAGCCATTGAGCTAGGCCTGGTTCAAGAAGAGGGCGCGTCTGGTCTGCATGCAACGCAAACTCCGCAGCCGCCCAACGCTCATGCATGTCCTCAATGGCTGACACATCCAACGCCTCGGAGAAGACCGGCACACCTGGCCCAGTCAGCAACGGAGAAGACGCCCACAAGCTCGCCATGCCCTCTAGAGCATTCGCCCCCAAGGGCGACAGTTCACGCGGAGGCGACGACAAAGAAGCTGCATTTGTTGCGGGGGTTGCTGCAAAAAGTCCGAGAACAAAGAACCATCTAGCAATGCCTAAATGCCAACCGTTCGCCAACGCACGATGACATTGCTTGTCAGGAAGAGAGGCTGTCCACCCCATGGGTAAGTGATGGAGTTGTTCCTTCACCTCTGCGGGCGGCATGACCAGCGCGCTTGTCTCCGGCACTACGAAAAGGTTCCCCCTTTCATAGTGCCATGGTGCATATTGACGGCCATCATTGAGCCATCTGGCCTGTGTCTCAGAATCGGCTTTGCCCTTGTAGCTCCGCGGAGCTGATCGCCCGTGCGGATCTTCTGCTGGCGTGGTCAAGCACGGGAGCACCACGCCCTTCTGCAAGACGTTGCTTGGCCACTGTAGGCCGCCGAGGTCATACTTGGCCAGGTCATCCTTGGTCTGGACGACGCTCGCACGTGGAACTCCTTGATAGGTTGACCAACGAATCTCAACCGTTGGTTGGAGAGTTCCTGCCACGGAATTCTCGCCCACCAACGGCGAGGCCTCGATATGACGCCCAGATCGGAGGCGTCCGCGACAACTGCTGACGCGGACAACTTTGTCTCGAGCGCGCGGACATCTTGTTTGTTGCGCGGCACAACATTCTCGACAATGAGGACCAGGATTGCTTGCGGATAACGCCATGTAGCCTCCAGCTCCCGCACAAACTCGGCGAAGCGAATGGCCTTGGAACCCTCCTCACCTTCAATTCCAAGACCTGTTCCTTGCCCTCGTCCAAGAATAGGTGACCACGGCGCAAGGCTACCAACTCAATCTCCCGCAGCAAAAACCATGAACCAAGAACTATGATGGCTTGTTCCAGCGCACTGAACTCCTTGCCTTTGTGGAAGAGACTCTCTAGCTCAAACGAATCCTTGAGCGCAGCACCACCCATGCCGCGCTCCACTGAACGAACCGCGTCCTTCAACTCCAGCTCTGCCTCCGCGGACAACTCTGAATTTGTTAGCTCTACATGGAGTCGACAAAGACGGCTAAAGTACTGCCTGACTGATCTGTAACCTCCCATTTTGAGCGCCGCAGCTATCTTCTTAACGACGTCCTTGCTGACGGGCGCGAGGCTGATCCCCCACGCCGCAGCCACTGCTTCCAAGGTGCGCAGTCGTGCATCTTGGGATGCCCGAGAACTGTTTGCCCACACATCCTGCTGGTAACGGTGCAACGTGTTCTCACGATTTTCTGGCTTGGCGCTCTCCAGAGCCCCCTGCAGTGAGCCTCCCGCCGAAGGCTGAGGACGCGGCAAGTCGCCCCGAAACTTCTTCTCCCCCCCCGGCTTTCCACACACTTCTGAGCTTGTCGAGGGAGGTGGCTCCGGCTGCTTCAAAACTGCTCGATCATGCTGGGGCACACGCCTGCATCCAAGCACGCTTGCACCAGGACCACGAAGGTATTCTCATTGCGCGGCTCCATGGCGGAGCTCCTCTATATCAGGTTTGGTCTACTCAGTCCTATCACACTGACAATGATGTGGCCTCGCCTGACATGACGTATGCATCACACTCACACGCTCACCATGCAATGGCAGCAAGCACGCTACTTATCCAACGCGTAACGCAAGACCTGTCAAGCTCTCTTTACCACACCGCGGATGTGACACAACGACACAAACAAGTACTCGCTGCCCTAGTCAAGTTCCGCTCGCGGCCAATGCCAGCACCGACGCAGCTGTCATCACTGACCAAGCACGTAACATCAAGCAATCACACACAGTCTCAAGGCTCCTACTTGCGCAAGACAAGCCAGTTTTCCGACTGACCATGCGTGATTCACAAATCACTAGCTCTCAACAGCAATAACCAAGCAAGTCTCACGCATGTGCTTCCCATCCATGTTCTCGACGAGGTCCGCAGACTCGAGGACGGCAACTATCCAGTTGGCACCATCGAGCTGGTCCATGCACACTGTCGAAAAGGGCGACGTCGAGCATTCGGCTGCTACACAGAAGCACTCATCATCTTCTGCCGCGACCGCGCCCAACCATGACGCAAGTAAGGCTTCTGAACAATAGCTACGGGCCTAGATTCCTTTCGAAAAGGAAACTGATCCTGCGCTTGGCTGCGGATCCATACGCATACATGTCATTACGTGCACGCGTGCACTCCAATATGATGTAAATAGCATGAGGCATAGACATGTTCGGCCGGAAACCGAACTGAGTCTTTGTTATGCGATGCGCACTTGCTGTTTGCATGCGAGACATGGTCATCATAAAGCAAAGTTTACAGGCGATGTTGAGAAGCGATAAGGCCCTGTACTTAGATGCAGTATCTCCTTCCTTATAGATGGGGACTCATGGGACTACTCTTGCCAGGAATAACTCTTCGGACGCCTTTCTACTAACCCACCAAGTATCCATGAGAGGCGACAATAAGGACTTATTTCCAAGTGAAACCATTTCAATAACTCCATGATGATGCCATCAGGTCCCGGTTGTTTGTTTGCTTTTGTTGCTTTGATCGCGTCATTCAATTCGCTCATCGTGAAAACGGCCGTGGCGGCCGCGTTATCCTCAACGATCTTGTCTTCGCGCGGGTGCGCGTCTTGAAACTTGTTTTTCCAATGTTCGGTTGCTAAACAATCGTTTCCGTTCTTTTGTCTAAGGGTACATGCACGACATTTGCCTTTCTTCATCTTGACAAATTCGAGCACGAATTTCTTCCGCAAGTCTTTGACCGCTTTCCACATTTGCTTCTTGCTCCTATCACACGGGTTTTCGTTGAACTTCTAAATTAACTCGTTCTGCTTGTCTACCGTACAAGTAGCATCTTTGGCCATTTCTTTATTCAAACGTCTCATATATGTTGCTGTAGCGCTGTTTAGCCTCATCTGATTATGCGTGTTAATGTTTGGTCAAGTTTTTCTGGACAGGTAGGCTTTGTTTTTGTCCGGCGTGACTTTTCATACTTGTTCCAAAATTGTTGCGTTGCATTTTGCATGGCAACTGTGACATTGATCCACATTCCAGGAAATTCAAAGGCATTTCAAGGGCTGCCCTGCTACCAGCGCTGCCACTACTCTCGTTGCTCCTCTGACCTTCCCAGAGCTTTTAAGTGGACAGCAGAGCTTGCCAAGTTCAAGCCTAAAACCTTGAAAGCCCTCATACAGCATGTGGCAGGTCTGATCCTGCCTTGTCCATCCCTTCTGGACGGTGCCTTGCAATGCCGCCACAATGGTTCGACTTTGAGCAAAGCATGATGCTCGCGTAATCCAGCAAAGGTCAGGAAAATGATCACGCAGAATTGCAGCCCTACTCTGACCACTCCAAAAAAACTGCCAGCTCGGATCTGCGAGTAGAGAACCCAAAGCCACATTAAGGAAAGCCAGCTTGGCGGCTGCTGTGGGCTGCATCTTACGCTTGAGCCTTCTTTTCAAAAAGCAAGCTTTTTCGCAAAGACAAGATGGTCCATCCCTATGGTAAACTCTGATTGCAAGTGAGTGGATACAAGCCAAGCACACGTCTGCTCTATCCGCAAGGTGATTGTCATGACGCGTGTGCCTCTGCAGCTTGGATGAACCCATGTGCTGTGCTGGGGATGCGACCCATCGTTCTTTCCGTCATGCTCAGGATCTGAGTCAGACTCGTCGTCATCGTCCGCGCCATCCGCATCCACAACGTCCGCTCCGCCCGCGCCGTTGCTTGCGATCTGCTGTGTTTCGCAGGTGCTTGCAACTTCATCCTGGCAGCAGGACAGATGCAGGCCCTTCGGGAAAGCCAATGTGCAGCCCCAGGCATCTCAGCGCGCCTCTAAAATCTGCATTGTCGGAGTATGTACTACACCCGGGGCCGCTGTTAGCACTTTGGCAGTTTTTGTCAGCGTCCAATCTGGCCATCACCCAGGTTTAAAGCTTGAGGACCCGAAGCTTCTGTGGTGAAGGAGCTCATTGATCTCCAGCAAGCTGCCAGTCCTCCAAATCAGATGCGTCATCCGCCAGAAGTCGTTCGCAAAGGACCTTGCTAACCAGCAGCAGAGATCACCCAGGCAAGCAGCGAGCGACCAAAATCTTGGGGCGAGCAGTCCCAATCTAGGGCTCACAGGGCTCAGGCCTCTTCTCCGCGTCGGCGCTTCTCCAGCTCCTCTTCCAAAAACCGTTGGTCCGAGACCTGGAAAGCCGTATGAAGTACAAAGCTCGCAACAAGGCTGTCCCTCTACGATGTGGACAGGGCTGTGCACGGGTTTTGAGCCCATCTGCCTGGTTCAGGTTGCTTGGGATCCACGTCTGTATGAAGACCTTGTAAGCATGACACGCATAGAGACTTCTCGCAGTCTTTTTGATCTCCCATGCGCCCAGAAGCACCTCGTCCTCCACGTCGTCCTCCTGGAAATCGCCCTTCTCCGCTGCATCCAACAGTGCCTACGTCAAACCGCTTTGGCACGCTCACTTCTGCAGTGACAGCATGTCAAATACCAGGCTGAATCTAGGGTCCAAGTCCTTTTGTTGGTATCCTACCCGTGTGAAGAGATGCCTTGAAAGCCTCCGAATCTTCTTCGTTGTTTGCCCCAGAGGCATTAAGCCTGCCGGAAGGTGTGCTCAAAGCAGCTCTCGAGTCTATACGCAAGACAGAGCCTGGGCAGTTCGCGCGTGACAACCTTGGCCCCACAGTGAAGACTTCTGAAGGGACGGCTGAAGAAAGAAACACGCTTTCTGAGCTGCGTGCGAAATCAAACAGGCGCTTCACTGGCAGCACTGTTCGTGACATACGCTTGGCAAAGAAGTTGTTGACCTGGAAAGCGCACGCAAAATCTATGTTCTATGTAGCAGGCAATTGCTAGGCAGCTGGCGTTTACGCAGTCTCTCTTCAGGAAGTCTAGAGCTTGAGGATGATCACTCTCCACAGACTGGGAGACATCAATGATGTACAGCTGACCGTCATTGTGCAGCCTGAGGTCAACAAAGCTCTGTAATCAATAGATTTCAACTCTGGGTCTCAGCTGCTCAAGGCTCAACAGCACTGCTTGCGACAGGGCTGGCAAGCTGACCAGTGGTTGCTTCAGGGCCGACACGAGACAGCCAAGCTTTGGGATGTTGAGATACATGCACGTTCTGTGCTACTGACCTTGCAAGGATGCGAAACAGGTTAAAGGCCAGAGCCTCCCTCAGGGGGGCCTGTTGGTCACAGCCTGTCACAGCCTCACCTGCAAACTTTCACGCTAGAGGTGACCAAGCTTGCACGCGTTGCATGTGGCCAGGCTGCTCTGTTTTCGGCTCGTGGGAGCAAATTGCATGGAGGTGTCCCTTCAGGCCTTCGCATGCTAAAAGCTCGTGCACTGCGGGTCTCACGACAATTCAGCTCCGCTGGGCTGGGTCAGAGATAATGTGCGAGTTATTTAAGGCCAGGGACAATCCTGCCGTTTCCTGGCTGGGAAACGTCCAGGATAGGATCTGGAGGGTGTGGGGCTGCGGCTATGAGGGGATTGGAGCCAGCAAGCAGCAATATGACGGGGAGGAAGAAGTCGTTCTTCCAAATTTTCCCACATACCTGACCTGTGAATAGGCGGAGTCTGTGCAGTTTCCCAATGGCCGAAAACTTCGAAGACAACCCGCCTGAAAAGAGAGCCTTACAAGGATGTTTAATTTCCAGACTGTGGGGGATTGCTTTTGATGTTCGAACATTTGCCCTGAATCCCGACCCAGAAAACCTCATGAAGTTACAGTTTGAATGCCCCGCCTGCAAGAGGTTGACAGGCCTTTCCCTGAGAAAATAAGCGTAGCTATCAAGCAATCCGATGATTTTGGATGGCGGCGTACTCAAGCAGGAAGTGTGGACACAAGGTCCCATGGCACTTTTGCGCTCGCAAATAGAAAATTGTGGCAGAATCTCTTTCAAGTACAGGCAGACACTGCAAAGCAACAGCTTCGACTCTGCAGCATGCAGAAGTCCATTGAAGACAACTACTGTAAGTCGTCTCCTCAAGTGGATGATTGTGCTCATGAGATGCCGAATTTTCTTGGCCCCAAGCATGTTGTACTCGGAGAGGTCTCCGTGAACCAGTTTGCAGCGCTGCATCCTCCAAAGAAAAAGGGTAGCTGCGCCAGCAGGTACCAATGGATTCAAACATGTCAGGGAGACATGGTTCTCATGAGTACGGCGCAATCCATGTAAAGTTGATCCCAGGCGGCAGAATCTAGACCATCTGCATCCTCGCGCATCGGGGGGCCAACGACTTGCCGCTTGAGCTCAGGCGGGCTTCAAACTAGTCTCCTTTAGTCTCGGAGCAGCATTGCCATCTTCACCCAGAAATTCCATGACCAGCACATTTTGGCGAACATCAACTACCTGCTGGTGAATCTGGGGTGGCACTGCATTATAGCATCGCGCATGCTCTCAGACGGCACAGTTTCGTGTCACGGTATGAGCTACAGACAACATGTCCCAGATAATTGACGGACACGGGTTCAATGATGAGGAATATGTTTGGGACTGTACTAAACATTGCTAAACTACCAAAACAACCTCCATGTTCACCCTTGATGGTCCTCTGGTAACCCTAATAGCCCTAATATTCACAGTAGCTCGCATGCACTTTCCGCAGATGGTTGAGTGAACCCATGAAATGGAAAATCCAGCTACTGTTGCGTTCAAGCCAGTCCACGAGAAGAGACGTGCACCTCTGGACATGGAATCCCGGCTGCAGCAAGCCGTCGAAGATTGCGCATTTCCTGCCAAGATGACTGCTGTACTCTCATCTTTGACACGTTCTTGATGCGATATATTCTGGCATCCCGTTCAGCTGTTTAGACGCCAGCCAAGGGTTCTCAAAACTGGCGCACTTGCTCATGAACGCGTACATAGCGTACTGACTTAGCAAAAAATGCAAGAATCCTGCGCGTCTGTGCTTAGAATCTAGAATCATAGTGAAGGGCTTGATTCTATCTCTGAAGTACCGTCTAAATTCCCAGTGTGGGCCTTGTACATTGAATTTTTGCGAGCGGCTTATCGTTTTCAAAGCTTTGGTGGTGGTGGGCCGTTTTTCTCTCCTTGGTGGTACAAGTTTAGTACCTGGGCCGTCTCCGGCAACCGGATGGATTTCGTTCTCTGGTAGTACAACTTTAGTGCTTGAACGGCCGTCTCCGGCAACTGGATGGCAATAGATTTTCGTTCCCTGGTAGAACAACTTTAATGCTTGAACGGCCGTCTCCGGATAATCGGATGAATTTTCGTTCTCTGG